TTTGCTTGCTGGCGAAAGGCCAGCAGGGAGGGGACCAGTCTAGCCTCCCACAGAAGGGAGTTCCAAAGGGTGGGAGCAGCCACTGAGAAGACTCTCTCTAGTGTCCTCACCAAGCGAGCTTGTGATCTTGGTGGGACCAAAAGAAAGCCTTCTCCTGCAGATCTTAGGGCTCTTGCAGGTTCATATGAGGAGATAGTCTCTCAAATAGTCTGAACCCAAGCCATGTAGGACTTTATAGGTCATGGCCAGCACTTTGAATTGTGCCTAGAAATGAACAGGTAGCCACTGAAACAGTTTTAACAAGGGAGTTATATGCTCCCTGTAACTGGCCCTGATCAGCATTCTGGCTGCGGTGTTTTGAACCCACTGAAGTTTCCAGACAGTTTCCAAAGGCAGACCCACATAGAGTGCATTGCCATAGTTCAAATGGGATGTAATAAAGGTATGTGTCACTGTAGCCAGATCTGACATCTCAAGGAATGGGAGCAGCTGGTGCACAAGTTGAAGCTGTTCAAATGCACTCCTGGCCACTGCTGAAACCTGGGCATCCAGGCACAGAGTAGAATCAAGCTGTGAGCCTACGATTTCAGGGGGAGTGTAACCCCATCCAGCACAGGCTGAATCCCTATTCCTGATCTGCCTTACAACTGACCAGGCGCACCTCTGTCTTGTCTGGATTAAGCTTCAACTTGTTTACCCTTATTCAGTCTATTACTGACAGCAGACACTGGTTCAGTACAGAGACAGTTTCCTTGGAGCCAGATGGAAAGGAGAGATAAAATTGGATGTCATCAGCATATTGGTGACACCACACCCCAAAACTCCGGGTGACCTCTCCCAGCAGTTTCATGTAGATGTTGAATAATATGGGGCACAGAACAGAACCTTGAGGGACCCCACAGGTCAACAAAAAGGAGTTGAACAGGAATCCCCCAACACCACCTTTTGAGTTCATGCCTTCAAGAAAGACTAGAACCACTGCATAACAGTGCCCCCAAGTCCCATTCCAGAAAAGCGTCCCAGAAGGATACCATGACTGATAGTATCGAACGCCACTGAGAGATCCAGCAGGACCAACAGGGACACACTCCCCCTGTCCAGTCCCCTGTGTAAGTCATCCACCAAGGCAACCAAAGCTGTCTTTGTCCCATAGCCAGATCTGAAGCCAGATTGAAATGGATCTAGATAATCCATTTCATCCAGAAACCCCTGAAGCTGGGAGGCCACCACTCACTCCAGAACCTTGCCCAAGAATGGAATGTTAGAGACTGGCCTATAGTTATCCAAAATAGTGGGACCAAGGGTGGTCTTTTTCAGTAACAGCCTCACCATAACCCCCTTTAGATAGGATGGAAATCTGCCTTGCTGCAGTGAGGCATTTGTCACTCCCCTTATCCACTCAACCAGTCCCTCTCCAGCTGCTTTCAGAAGCCAGGAAGGGCAAGGATCCAGTATGCACATGGTGGCCCTCACTTCTTCAAGGACCCTGTCCAAGCACCAAGATTACATCCACTGGACCTGTGTCAACTACATCCAAGTTAGCGTCAATCTGAGCAATTTTGTCTGCAATGTGTCTCTCAAATTCTTCACAGCATTTGAAAGCTCAGCCGTTCACAGATTAAAAAGCCTGATGGCACAAAAATGTTTTTACCTGCCACTTAAAAGACAATGGGATGGGGACACCCTAGCCTCTCTAGAGAGGGAGTTCCAGGGCCTGGGAGCAGACACCAAGAAGGCACTCTCCCTTGTTCCCATCAGGGGCTAATCTACAATGGTGAAAAATGCTGTACTCAGCTTGAAGCTGGCACTGGCAGTCCTGTTATTGTATGGCTACTTCCAGGAATGATCCATGTTTGGGGTTTTTTGCCCTTAACCCAAATTTGCTATGAACTAAGCAAAGCCGGGGCAAATCCTGGTTTAGAGTGAATTTGGTCCTATTGGGTCC